GAGATATTTAACTACCATGATAAAATTATTTAAAAATATATCTACTAAGAGAAAGCAGTTCACGAAATTTGTTCCCTGATGAAAGTTGGATCTGGTATGGAAAAATTAATATTAGTAATAATAATAATAATAGACAACACAGTAATTCTTTTTTTATTTTAATAACCAAACTTTATTTTTAGATCAGTTTTTGGTTTGCAGAAAAATTGAGCAGAAAGTACAGACAGTTCTCATATACCATCCCCCCCATTCCCTTATTATTAATATCATGCATTCGTGTGGTACATTTGTTACAACTGATGGACCAGTATTGATACATAATTACTAATTAAAGTCCACAGTTTACATTAGGACTGCTTTCGTGATATACAATTCTACAGATCTTAATAAAAGCAACTGCCTTCAGCTCAGGTCATGGTCCTGGAGTCCCGGGATCGAGTCCCGCATCGGGCTCCCTGCTCAGCAGGGAGTCTGCTTCTCCCTCTGACCTTCCTCCCTCTCATGCTCTCTCTCTACCATTCTCTCTCTCTCTCAATAAATAAAAATCTTTAAAAAAATTAAAAAATAAAATAAAAAATAAAAAATAAAAAAAGCATAATATCATGCATCTTCTAACATAGTAATTCTAACATGATATTTACAATAGTATGAGACCTTGTTTACTCTATTTCTAAAAACTGCTTTGTAAACATATCTGTTATCTGCCCCGAGTAATTAATTTTTAATAAAATGTTCTGCAATATATTTTATATCATAAATGGAAAGCTTTTAAATGGATAATTTTTAATTTAAATTTTAGTTAACGTACAGTGCAATATTGGTTTCTGGCATAGAATTCAGTGATTCATCACTTACATATAACACCTTGTGCTCATCACAATAAGTGCCTTCTTTAATAGCCCTTGCCCCACTCACCTCCCTCCATCAACCCTCAATTTGTTCTCTACCATTAAGAACCTCTTACATAGTTTGTTTCCCTCTCTCCATTTTACCCCTTCCCAAGAATGTTCATCTGTTTCTTTCTTTTCTTTTTTTTAAGATTTTATTTATTTATTTGACAGAGAGAGAGATAGCGAGAGCAGGAACACAAGCGGGGGGAGTGGGAGAAGGAGAAGCAGGCTTCCCGCCGAGCAGGGAGCCCGACGTGGGACTCAATCCCAGGACCCTGGGATCATGACCTGAGCCAAAGGCAGACGCTTAATGACTGAGCCACCCAGGTGCCCCTCATCTATTTCTTTCTTAAATTCCACCTACGAGTGATATCATATGTTATTTGTCTTTCTCTGACTGACTTATTTCACTTAGCATAATACACTCTAGCTCCATCCATGTCATTGCAAATGGCAAGGTTTCATTCTTTTTGATGATTGAATAATATTCCATTGTATTTTTATACATCCCATCTTCTTTATCCATTCATCAATTGATGGACATTTGGGCTCTCTTCATAGTTTGGCCGTTGTTGATAATGCTGCTATAAACATCGAGTTGCATGTACCCCTTTGAATCTGTATTTTTGTATTCTTTGGTAAATAACTAGTAGTGTAATTGCTGGATCATAGGATAGCTCTATTTTTAACTTTTTGCAGAACCTCCACGCTGTTTTCCAGAGTGCACCAGTTTGCACTCCCACCAATAGTGCAAGAGGGTTCCCTTTTCTCTGCATCCCCACCAACACCTGTTGTTTCTTGTGTTGTTAATTTTAGCCATTTTGACAAGTGTGAGATGATATCTCATTGTGGTTTTGATTTGTATTTCCCTGAGGATGAGTGATGTTGAGCATTTTTCATGTGCCTGTTAGCCAACTGCATGTCTTCTTTGGAAAAGTGTCTAGTCATATCTTCTGCCCATTTCTTAACTGAGTTATTTGTTTTTTTGGGTGTTGAGTTTCATAAGTTCTTTGTAGATTTTGGATACTAACCCTTTACCAGATAAATCATTTACAGATATCTTCTCCCATTCCATAGGCTGCCTTTTAGTTTTGTTGATTGTATTCTTCACTGTGCAGAAGCTTTTTATTTTGATGAAGTCCCAGTACTTCATTTTTACTTTTGTTTCCCTTGCCTCCAGCAATGTGTCTACTAAGAAGTTGCTATGGCCAATGTCAAAGAGGTTGCTACCTGTGTTCTCTAGGATTTTGATGGTTTCCTGTCTCACATTTAGGTCTTTAATCCATTTTGAGTCTATTTTTGTATATGGTGTAAGAAAGTGGTCCAGTATCATCCTTCTTTATGTTGCTGTCCAGTTTTCCCAACACCATTCGTTGAAGAGACTGTCTTTTTTTTCCATTGGATATTCTTTCCTGCTTTGTCAAATATTAGTAGACCATATAGTTGTGGGTCCATTTCTGGGTCCTCAATTCTGTTCCATTGACCGATATGTCTGTTTTTATGCCAGTACCATGCTGTCTTGATGACTACAGCTTTGTAATATAGCCTAAAGTCTGGAATCGTGATGCCTCCAGTTTTGTTTACCTTTTTCAGGTTTGCCTTGACTATTCAGGGTCTTCTGTAGTTACATACAAATTTTAGGATTGTTTGTTCTAGCTCTGTGAAAAATGCTGGTGGTAGTTTGATAAGGATTGCATAAAATGTATAGATTGTTTTGGGTAATATAGACATTTTAACAATATTTGTTCTTCCAATCCATGAGAATGAAATACTTTTCCATTTCTTTGTGTCCTCTTCAATTTCTTTCATAAGTGTTCTGTAGTTTTCAGAGTACAGATATTTTGCCCCTTTAGTTAGATTTATTCCTAGGTATCTTATTGTTTTTGGTGCTTTTGCAAATGGGATCAATTCCTGGATTTCTTTGTCTGCTGATTCATTATTATAGAAATGCCACAGATTTCCGCACATTGATTTTATATCCTGCAACTTTGTTGAATTCATGCATTAGTTCTAGCAATTTTTTGGTGGAGTCTTTTGGATTTTCTACATGAAGTATCATGTCATCTGCAAATAGCGAAAATTTGACTTCTTCCTTGCTGATTTGGATGCCTTTACTTCTTTTTTGTTGTCTCATTGCTGAAGCTAAGGTTTCCAGTGCTATCTTAAGTAATAATGGTGAGAGTGGACATTCCTGTTTTGTTCCTGACCATAGCGGGAAGGTTCTCAGTTTTTTCCCCATTAAGGATAATATCAGCTGTGGGTCTTTCATATAAGGCCTATATGTTCCACATATCCCTACTTTGTTGAGGGCTGTTATCAAGAACGGATGTTGTATTTTGTCAAATGCTTTTTCTGCATCTACTGACAGGATCATTTGGTTCTTATCCTTTCTTTTATTAATGTGGTATATCACGTTGATTTGATTTCTGAATACTGAACCACCCCGCAACACAGGAATAAATCCCACTTGATCGTGGTGACTAATTCTTTTAATGTACTGTAGAATTGATTTGCTAGTATTTTATTGAGAAATGTTGCATCCATGTTCATCAGGTCTGTAATTCTCCTTTTTATTGCAGTCTGTAACGGGGTTTGGAATCAAGGTAATGCTAGCCTCCTAGAATTAGTTTGGAAGTTTCCTTCCATTTCTATTTTTTGGAACAGTTTAAGAATAGGTATTAACTCTTCTTTAAATGTCTGGTAGAATTCCCCTAAATTCTGGCCCAGGACTTTTTTTTGTTGGGAGATTTTTTATTACTGATTCAATTTCTTTGCTGGTTATGGATCTGTTCAAATTTTCTGTTTCTTCCTGTTTCAGTTTCAGTAGTTTGTAAGTTTCAAGGAATTTGTCAATTTCTTCCAGATTGCCCAGTTCTTTGGCATTTAATTTTTAATAGTATGCTGTCATAATTGTTTGTATCTCTATGTGGTGTTGGTTGTGATCTCTCCTCTTTCATTTGTGATTTTATCTATTTGGGTCCTTTCTCTTTTCTTTTTGATAAGTCTGGCTAGGGGATTATCAATTTTATTAATTCTTTGAAATAACCAGCTCTTGGTTTCATTGTTGGTTTTTTTTTTTTTTTGGTTTCTATATCATTTATTTCTGCTCTAGTCTTTATTATTTCCCTTCTTTTGCAGAGCTGATTTAGTGGTCACAAACTCCTTTAGTTTGTGTTTGTCTGGGAAACTCTTTATCTCACCTTCTATTCTGAATGACAGCCTTCCTGGTTAAAGAACTCTTGGCTGCATATTTTTCCCATTCAGCATGTTGAATATATCCTGCCATTCTCTTCTGGCCTGTCAAGTTTCTGTGGACAGCTGTGCTGTGAACCTGATCTATCTTCACTTGTAGGTTAAGGACCTTTTTCCCTTGCTGCTTTCAGGATTCTTTCCTTGTCTGTGTATTTTGTGAATTTGATTATGAAATGCCTTGGCAGTGGTTGGGTTTTGCTAAATTTAATTGGAGTTTTCTGTGTTTTTTGGACTTTGATTTCTGTATCCTTCCCCAGATTAGGGAAGTTTTCAGCTATAATTTGCTTAGATAAACCTCCTGCCCCCTCTTTCTTTTTCTTCCATCTTCTGCGACTCCTATGATATGAATGTTATTCTGTTTTAATAAGTCGCTGAGTTCTCTGAGTCTATCTTTTTGATCTTTTACTATTGTTTCTCTCTTCTTTTCAGCTTCATTATTTCCCATAATTTTCTGTTCTTAATCACTGATTCATTTCTCTGCTTCATCCATCCTCATTTTTATGGTTTCCATTCAGGTTTGCATCTCAGTTATAGCATTTTTAATTTCAGCCTGACTTTATTTTAGTTCTTTTACCTTTGCCATAAGAGATTCTCTGGTGTCGGGGTATCTCGATGGCTCAGTTGGTTAAACATCGCCTTCAGCTCAGGTCATGATTCCAGGATCCTGGGATTGAGCCCCACATTGCTCCCTGCTCAACAGGGAGTCTGCTTCTCCCTTTCCCTCTGCCCCCCACCCCCGCTTATGTGCTCTCTCATTTATAGCCAAACTTGGGGTTACTCTCACTCTCTCTTTCTCACTCTCTCTCTCTTTCTCAAATAAATAAATAAAATCTTAAAAAAGAGAGATTCTCGGTGTGAGGGGAAGTACTCTGTGCGGAGGCCACTATGCTCTCACCCCCAACGCCCGGTGACTCGCTACCATGAGCAGCACCTTAGCCAAGATTGCGGAGATCGAACCCGAGATGGCTCGGACTCAAAAGAACAAGGCCACAGCACACCACCTAGGGCTGCTTAAGGCTCGCCTTGCTAAGCTTCATAGAGAGCTCATTACCCCAAAAGGTGGTGGTGGTGGTGGGCCAGGAGAAGGTTTTGATGTGACCAAGACAGGTGATGCTCGAATTGGGTTTGTGGGTTTTCCATCAGTGGGGAAGTCAACACTGCTTAGTAACCTGGCAGGGGTATATTCTGAGGTGGCAGCCTATGAGTTCACTACTCTGACCATTGTGCCTGGTGTCATCAGATACAAAGGTGCCAAGATCAAGCTCCTGGATCTTCCAGGTATCATTGAGGGTGCCAAGGATGGGAAAGGTAGAGGCCGTCAAGTCATTGCAGTGGCCCGAACATGTAACTTGATCCTGATTGTTCTAGATGTCCTGAAACCCTTGGGACACAAAAAGATAATTAAAAATGAGCTGGAAGCCTTTGGCATTCGCTTGAACAGCAAACCTCCCAACATTGGCTTTAAGAAGAAGGATAAAGGAGGCATTAATCTCACGGCCACCTGCCCTCAGAGCGAGCTGGATGCTGAAACTGTGAAGAGCATTCTGGCTGAATACAAAATTCACAATGCTGATGTGACACTGCGTAGTGATGCCACAGCGGATGACCTCATTGACGTGGCAGAAGGAAACAGAGTTTGTATCCCTTGTATCTGTGTGTTGAATAAGATTGATCAGATCTCCATTGAGGAATTGGATATCATCTATAAGGTGCCTCACTGTGTACCCACCTCTGCCCATCACCGCTGGAATTTCGATGACCTCTTGGAAAAGATCTGGGACTATCTGAAACTAGTGAGGATTTACACCAAACCCAAAGGCCAGTTGCCAGATTATACATCCCCAGTGGTGCTGCCTTACTCTAGGACTACGGTGGAGGATTTCTGCATGAAGATTCACAAAAATCTTATCAAAGAATTTAAATATGCTCTGGTCTGGGGTCTGTCTGTGAAACACAATCTTCAAAAAGTGGGTAAAGATCATACACTGGAGGACGAGGATGTCATTCAGATTGTGAAGAAATGAAACCTTCCCCTCTACCCATATGCTGGGCCAACCATAGCAGCTTTTCCCATGACCAAGCACCCTACCCCAAACCCCTTCGAGCTTTGGCAGCCAGTGGACCAGGATTCAGGGGAGGGAGATGAAGGCATCCAAGCTGGAACTTTGTCTTAACTTGGTGTCACCTTGTAAATTCAACTGCATAAAGGACCTGGTAGGCCAAAAAAAAAAAAGAAAAGAGAGAGAGAGAGAGATTCTCTAGTGTCTTCTGCTTTTTTCAAGCCCAGCTGGTATCCTTATAATTCTTTTAAATTCTAGTTAAGACAGCTTCCTTATATCCATATTAATTAAATTTCTGGCCATCATTTCTTCTTGTTCTTTTTTTGGGAGGTGAATTCCTCCATCTTCCCAAAGTCATTTTTCTGATTTGTAGACTTGCAGCTTTGTTCTCTAAGATTTCCAATCGATTTCTTGGGTGTTTAGAATGATTTGATATTTATCTAGCTGTGTTTCAGGGAGGAGGCAATCTTTGGGTCACCCTACTCTTCTGCTGCCTTACCTCTGATCAAGCCTTAAATGGATATTTTTTGAAAATCCCTAAATTAGAATTATATTTGCATAGTCTAGGAAGAATTCGTCTTTAAAATATCCAAAATATTCTCCTAATTTACTTGTTAGTTTATATAGTGACTACAAAGGACCAGACAAGTTCCTGAATTCTTTAAAGATTTTATTTATTTATTTCAGAGAGAGAGAATGAGAGATAGAAAGCACGAGAGGGAAGAGGGTCAGAGGGAGAAGCAGACTCCCCGCCGAGCAGGAAGCCCGATGTGGGACTCGATCCCGGGACTCCAGGATCATGACCTGAGCCGAAGGCAGTCGCTTAACCAACTGAGCCACCCAGGCGCCCCAAGTTCCTGAATTCTTTAAATATTCATTCTTCTAACATAGCTGTCAGTTAGGTGCTATTGTTATTATTATTATTATTATTATTATTATTATTATTATTATTTAGAAAAAAAGAAAGCCAAGGCACAGAAGAGGTTAAATATCTTATCCAATGTCACACAAACAGTATAACTGGAGACACTGAGATGAAAACTCAGGCAGTCTGGCTCTAGACTCCACAATCTTAGCCACTCTCCAAGGCTCTTCCTTAGTGCCATAAAAATGCTTATTCATATTAGAAGTATTTATTCATACATTCACACTCAGAAAGTGCTTGTCAGTACTCAGAAATTTGGAATTACGTAACTAAGGCATTAGTTCACTAATTTATATCCATAAGCAGTTTTTATTTTTTTTTTAAGTAGCATTTTTCTGGGGGAAAATGCTTATGTAATGAAAATGGACCCTGTATATTTAATAGTAATTTAATACTTAAAATATGTTTTCTAATCTCAGATTATTGGCAACATTTCTATTATTTGCTTTATTAATTTTTTTACTATTGAATTCTGTTTCTTTAAGTAAATTCATTTGAAATGTTTCCTCAGGCAAGGTAAAAACTACGTATGTTTACAGCATTTGGAAACAGCTAATATATTTACTAAATGACTATTAAAGGGTGATTACCCCCCAAAAAGGTCAAATAGCACATTACCATTACTAAATGTAATGCCCATGAGAATGAAGCCAGGCAGATGGGCATCAAACATATTTCAAATTAAGAAATGAAGGAATTGGTTACTGACTCACCCTGGCTGAAAAAAAAAAAAAAAAAAAACAGGCATTAACTGAGCCCTGTCCACAGATGAGCTCTGTGGTGATAGGTACTTAGATATTAGCCTTTGATTAGTCCACAGTGCAGCAAAGTAGAGGGAGGTACAAAGATGGCAATGCAGACAAGAAAAAGAGTTATGCACCTAATAGAAATTGGGACTTGAGGAGGGGTAATTTATTGAAATTGGTTTTAGATGAGTCAAATTGGAACTGGGTCATAAAATTATAAAATTGCAGAAAACGTTAAGTGATAGGGGTCTACAGCTCAAGCAAGACATCAGGGTTAGAGATATAAAGTTGAAAGTCTTCTGTACAGACTTGAGAATTGAAACTAAAAAACTGGATTAACTATAAAAGGAAGATTTGATTACTGTACCATTAGGCCTAAAGAGGATGCTAAGCTAATGGTTCTGAGCCCTGTCTTTTAAATGAGACAGCTGGTAACCCTGCCACAATTTAGCAGTATAAATTTAGGCAAGTCACTAAACCTTTCTAAATCCTAAATTCCTAATCCATAAAACGGAAATAATATGGTTCCCAAGATTTCTGCCCCGGTGTCCCTGCCCTATATGATTCCCTTCCCTTGAGTGTGAATGGAACCTGTAAATATAAGATAGTCATTTCTTGATAAGGTTATGTTATAAGGCAAAAAGTGATGACATTGTCCCCCCATGATTATATTAATTGACTAAAGGGAGAAGCTGGAGAGATGTACCCCCAGGTCTGGCAGAAAGCAAACAACTGTGTTGTGATCTGCTTATCACATGGGGGCCACATGGCAAGGAATTGTGGGTGGCCTCTAGGAACTGAGAGCAGTCCCTCAGGGATAGCCAGTAAGAAAAAAAGGAAGTGACAGCTACTTCCTAAAAGGAATGAATTTGCCAGTAACCAGGGAGCTTGCAAGAGGACCCTGAACCTCAGATAAACTGATAGCCCCTGCCCATACTTTGATTTCATTCCAAAGAAACCCCGAGGAGAGGACTCAGGTAAAGGAAATTGTGAAAGAATACATTTGTCTTGTTTGGAATTACTAGATCTGTGGCAGTTTATTGTGCAACAATGGAGAATGAATTATGCTCATAAACTTAGATGCCTGAAATTACAAAATGCCTATTACAGTACCCTCCACAAAATAGTGTGCGATAATTGCTGCCTTGGTAGCACTGTTATGTATCCTCCTGAATCCTATTTCTGTTTCTAGATTGAAAATAAATACCAATTTCCATACAAAGCCTTAAAGAAACTCATCAGGAACTAATGTTTTAGTGACAATGCTGAAGCATTTCTAAAGAATTTTGATCTGTGTTACCTTTTACTTCGCTATGACCTTTTATCTGATCTCCTTATAACTTAGAGGAAGATCTCAAAAAGTAGTTTGAATAAACCATTACTAGTAAGAGTTTGTTGTTCTTTTGGTTCTTATTTGCTTTGTTGTCTAAGAATATAAGAGTTTTAAAAAATGACTGAACACACTGATAACGATAAATTTGCTCAGGCCCAAATACGATGTTGAAGCATTAATGAGATTTTTATTTTGTTAAATGTTTTGTGGAAACGGAGTTCAAAGTAAATTTAGGTATTAAAAAGTTCATCATAGGAAAAAAAAAAAAAAAGGTCAATTTTGTAATGGTCCAGAAAGAAAAGCTGTGAAACTACCATGGAAAATAAGAAAATAGTCTGAGATGGTTTGAATGCAAGACTGTAGAGTCAGTTAGCCTGTGTATCTCCACCCACCTCTGCTGCTTTGCTTATGCTGTGCCCTCTCCCTAGCATGCCCTTTATAATCAGTTTTACTTCTGTGCAACCCTTTCCCTTAGAAATAAAAATATGGATAGCAAAGTATCCCTATGTCTATACTCTTTGCTATAGAATGTTTTACTATATTATGAGTTTCTTCAGGGAAAAAATATTTTTGCATTTCCAGTTACTGGCATGGGTATGAACTTAATAAATGTTTATTAGATACAATTTAATGAAACTTTACTTAGAATTAATACGCTTAAGTATTCGTTTGGCAAAATTAGGTCACATGTTAATTTATTGTATTATCTCCATATTCTTCTGTTAGTTAAAAGGAATGTGACCTGGCAAGCTGATAGTCTTGGTAGCATTTCTGTGTGTGACTTTTAGTGATTATACTTATGTAGCATCAAAATGGCTATCGGGAAAATGCAGAAAATTCAATCAATCAAGTGGTATATCTATCATAAGCAAAAACTACTTTAATTTTGTTGATAAAGTTTCTGACTAAACTAATTATTTTGATATTATGCAAACACACCTGATAAAATAGTTGCTTCAAGGAAAACAGTCTTAAAATAACATTTTAGTATTATATGGATGAAAAGCCCAAGTCACTATTTTTTCACATTTCTTCTATACATGGGAATTTAATTTGAATTATTAAGGAAACCCAATTCCACAACATAAAAATAAATTCTATAAATCATATTAAAAATAAAATTCAATGAATAGAATGTACACATGGTATGATGATTATTTAAAACATCTTATACCTTAATCAGGATAATTCTGTCACTTAGTAATATATGCACGTTAAGCATTTGTTAAACAAGTGATTTCTATCCCATTGCCTGTTTTTTTATTATCTAAGATCCTTTTTATTATAAATCTACAAATTTTTCATGTTTATAAGAACTATTTTATGGGGGAAGTTAGTGTTTTAAATATTGGGATAGTATTTAAATTTATTTAAATTTAGAAATGCATTGTGGAGAATGAAACTAATGAAAATAACAAAAAACATTAGAAATAATTTTTTTAGAAAAAAGTTATAATAGCAGAAGTTTAAAAAATGAGCAGGGAAAGCTTCAATAATCACAATAACTCTTCTGGTAAAGTGTAGAATTTTACACATTATATCAATATTTTTCCAAATCTTGCTTACAGTATCTTACAGAGAAATTTTTGAAGTATTTACACCTTCTCTCCTCACAGTCTTAAGGATTTTAGTCAAGTAGAACAGGAGTCGGAAAACGTTTTATGCAGAGGGCCAGGAAGTAAATATTTTAGGCTTTGCAGCCATACAGGCCCTGTCACAACTATTCAGCTTTGCCACTGTAGCATGAAAACAGACACTGACAATATATAAGTGAATGGGCCTGGCTCCAATAAAATTTTACTTACAAAAACAGGAAGCATTCTGATTTGACCAGCTTGCCAGCTCTTGATGTAGATTAATATTAGCAATTTTATAGCCATTTTTATATAAGACTATAAGAAACTATCTTCACAGTTAGTAGTTGATTACAAAAAAATATAGTCATTATAACATTTTATAATACAAGTAACAATACCAGAATTCTATCTTTTGTATCTATAGATGCTTACTGTGGTGAAAGTTGAAACTAACTTTATCCAAAGAGAACAGATTTCATGTCTAGGATTTTTTTTTCTCCATTCTTTCTTATTCTAGGAACTCAAAAATTTTATCTCCCATTTACTGAGTGAATACTACAAAATAGGGCTCATTCTTTATCCTACAAATATC